GGGTTTGCCCCTTTGGTCACGCTGAGAGTCAAACACAGATGTTGTGACGCTGGAACCCCGCTAGGCTTGCACCTGTGGTCGCGTTGAGAGTCAAACACAGATGCTGTGACGCTGACACCCCGCTAGGTTTGCACCTTTGGTCACGTTGAGAGTCCTACACAGATGTTGTGACGCTGGAACCCTGCTAGGTTTGCACTTGTGGTCGCGCTGAGATCCAATCACAGATGTTGTGACGCTGAAACCCCGCTAGATTTGCACCTGTGGTCACGCTGAGAATCAAACACAGGTTTTGTGACGCTGGGACCCCGCTAGTTTTGCGCCTGTGGTTGAGAGTCACTTGGTCGGCCTGCTGCTTTTTGTGAAATGTTTTTGTTTGTTGACCTTCCCATTTGTTGTCTCTGGCTGCATTTTCTTTGTGAAAGCGGATTATTGCAGGGCCTGTCACTGGCCTGCTTGGTCGGCCTGCTGCTTTTCATGAAGTTTTTTCTTTAGTAGAGCTTTCCATTTGCTTGTTGTCTCTGGCGGCATCTTTTTTTGAAGGTGTGTTTTTTTCAGGGTCTGTCATTGGCCGGCTTGGTCGGCCTGCTGCTTTTCGCAAAGTGTTTTGCAAAGCTTCCATTTGCTTGTTGCCTCCGGCTGCCATTTTTGTGAAGGCGGATTTTAAGATTGCAAGGTTTTCAGATTTTAAGGTTCCAATATTTGAAGGTTTTACGATTTTCAGACTTGAAGATTTTAAGACTTTACGATTGTACGATTCATATATATATATATATATATATATATATTTTGGGAAGTAGCAATGGCAAGCGCAGAACAAATGCAAGCGCAAATAGATTAGCTTGCGCAGCAACAATCGGCTAGACAGCCTGAATTGTAGAATGATGTAGAGCCATGTAGCATCCCGAACGTATGTACAACTCCTCTGACCAGATTCTGGTCTCTGGGAGCATTCCACATTGAACTGGCCATGATGTAAAAACATGTTTTCTCATGTTTTCTTGTGTTCTACTCTTACAAAGCAGGAGGCTGTGATACAGCAAATGGCAGCACAGGTGTCCACAGCGCACACACCACAACCACGGACAGCGCAAACATACATCCACGTCATGTTCCCAAACCACCAATCTACAGCCGATCTACAGTGGCAAGAAGGCGAAGAACAGATGACATGACCTTGCAAGAGCTCAAGGAGCTTTCAGAAGGCGCGGGGGAAGAGAAGCCAGAAGCTCAGGTGGCTGAGATTGGAGCAACACCGAGCGCATCGTGCCAACTACGCGCCATGGTGTCCTGTGGCAGGGCGAAGCCTCGCAAGAGGGACCGGCAGTAGCTCCCCCATGATTCCCGATCCTTGCGTGACTTCCATGTCAAAAACAAGTTCCTGCAGTTGTCACGTCCACCTTAGAGCGGATGCCCTCTCGCCTTGCCCTTTCGATGCCCGCCGTGGTGTTCCAGGGCGCACGTCTCGCTTATTCAAGAACGATCAGCTTCTGAACTTCGCTTGGGGCCGGAAGAAAGGAAGACGAAGAAGACAAGAGTGGCGGAAGAAGTCACACCTGACGTCGGAATGTCCGGCGACAAGAAGGCCAAGATCACCGAACCCGTCGAGCGAAGTTCCGCGGAACGTTCTCCGTCGACCAAGCGGAAAGCTGAGCGCTACAGCGCTCGCTCAGAAAGTAAAAGCTCAAGCTCATCCAGTTCGGAGATCCGCCTCCAAGCGCGACACCTTCCATAGTGACGCAGGACATGGTTTCGAGCGTCGCCCAAGGTTATGCAATCAACGCGCTTCGTTAAGGCAAGGAGAAAGCTGATTCAGAGAGGGAGCGTGCGTTTGAGAGAGACTTGGAGACAACTCCGCCGCCCAAAGGCAGATTTTGACATCAGGGTTTCTAATTGCCAAAGATGGAGGTGACCAAAAGGACAACCCTTTTCATGAGCGCCTAAGGAATAGCTGGCATATGCGACGCATGGATCTTGAAACTTGAAACAGGACAAGGGAGCTCAGGACCTCGCGAAGAGCTTGTTTCGCAGGTTGACGGCAGCGTATCGGGACCGACCTGAGGAGACACTCACCATCAAGGATTCCGAGAGATACCTGTTCATGTTAGGTAAGTTTCAAGGATTCCGAGAGGCAAGTTAGATGCTTGTATCGATGTGAACTCACTGGAACTGTTTCCATTCACCAAGGGCCAAAACCAATGACAAGCACGCGCAGTGCAAGCCTAGCCCAGTACCAGGAAAGAAGCTTGACCAAGCCGCGCGGGCAGCGCAATTGATTTATCTGTCACAAGACCGCAGCGATACCAAGTTCGCAGTGCAAGAACTAGCCAAGAGGGATCGAAATCCTCGGCAACGTGGCCTCGGACGCTGTGGAGTGTGGGCGCGCCGCAACAGCAAGTGGAGTGAACCGGCGCCACCCAGTACCGATTCATGCATATCGTGACGAGCGCAAGTGGAGAAGTGCTGTTGGGAGGAACCGTGATTGAGACGGGCAGTCACACGCAACAGTTGCAGCGCAGAGATTAGAAGTCTCACGCGTTGCGCACAATCAGCACACGTGAGGAATCTTTGCGAGCAAGACTTTGGAAATGAAGTGGAAATTCCGAGAATTTGGCGCGACTCAAGTGCAGCGTTATAAGGAAAGAAGCGAGGCGTTATTAGGACCAGGAAAGATGCGACTCGCAGCAGGACATTTGTACACGCAGGAACTCGTGAAAGAGAAGCAAGTTGTGATCGGGCTTGGTGACAGGAGAAGACCCGCCGATTGCGCGTGAGAGACTTGGCGCTTGTTGTTTGCCGCATGTTTGCCACGGCGAACAAGTCTGGATGCTGGCGATCCTTAATTTCCTTCAGCTTTGCGCTTGCTTCTCTAAATGTAGCAATACGTTACTATTGCCCTTTGTCGGCCGAATAAAAGCTACAAAAACAATGGATGCAAGCGGATCCAGTTGCCACATGGGTGAGGCGTTGTCTCCGTTGCCTCTGGCGAACGCAGCACAAATCATGGAGGTTCGAGTCCTCCCTGGATCGTAATTGTCATTCCTTCTGTGAAGTGAGGAGTATATTATTCCCTTACTAAAATGCGAACATGCTCTTCAGTATTGCATTTTGAAGGACAAGTGTGTTCCGAAACGGCGCGACAAGTGTGAGTGCAGTCGACACACAGACAAACAACACCGGACGCGCGCAAAACGCGAAAACTCGTGATGGGCTCAAACTCAGCCTGCGCGCGTGCCACAGTTGTGTGCGACGCAACAAAGGGGTGACGCACAACGTCAAGGATGGATCTGGCGCACACAGCGCGGGTGACTCCGCAGATTGGTGCCTTAAGCTTGCCCTCAGCATCAGCATGGTGCTACGCATCTGCCGCCCTGTTTCAGCTTGCCCGAACCTGACGAGGTAGGTTCGACTTGGATAATGGCTGCGGTGCCATCTCAGGTCGCAAGGGCGATCAGTTCAGAAATGTCAGCTTTGTGGCTGAGTAGTCATATGGCGTAGCATGCTGGCTCCGCTTTTGCAAATCGACGAAGTTGCTCCACTGTCTTGCGGTGCTGCAAGGCTAGTGCGGCGGACTGTCGCCGAAGCCAACGCGGCTTTTGTACACGCAGCGGTACAGAACTGGAGTAGCGCTACCAACTGCGAACAGCGTGGGGCAAGTTGAGAGCAGAGGAGAATCCGGCAGATGTCAAGAAGGCCATAGCCGGAACCTTGAGACTGCAGAGGGATCTTGGTAGAGTTCGGCCCGCGTGTAGGGATGGGTCAGGATTTCCGGCCGCGTCCGATAGGCCGAGAGAAATTTATACCAGCGTAGACCCCAAATAGCAAGAGAGTGGTGTCAGCCAACGAACTAAAAACAGGAGCCATAGCCAATGATTCAGTGGATTTGCTTAACGTGCCGCCTATCAAATGGCTTCGCAAACGCACAATGATAGCTGGAAGACCGCTCCGGCAAGACTGTGGGAAGACTGTGGGAAGACGCAAATCTGAGTCTCGGTGTCTTGCAGCAGCATCCTGCAGCAGCGCAAGGTGCCACCTTAAAAAGTTTCAGTCTGCAGCAGCACCCTGCCCAACAGCACCAACAACACGCTGAAATGGCACTCTGGAACAGCCCGCGCAACTCTGAGATTCGGCCTTCAGAATTACCTTGCAGCAGCTGCAGCACCCTGCTCTGCGACAGCGCCCTGCAACAGCACCCCGCAGCAGCATGCGCAACTCTGAGTCTCGGTCTGCAGCAGCGCCCTGAAACAATACGCTGCCTGCAGCAGCACCCTGCGTAACTCTGAGTCTTGGCACCACCCTGCAACAGCACCCTGCAGTAGCACCCTGCAACAGCTCTCGCCCTGCGCAGCTTCATGAGTCTCAGCCTGCAGCAGCAGCACCTTGCAACAGCGCCTTGCGCAACTTTGAGTTTCACCTTGCAACAGCACTTTCCAACAGCACCTTGCATCAGCATCTTGCTGCAACACCTTGCAGCAGCACCCTGCGCAACTCTGCTTCTCGGCAGCACCGTGCAACAGCACCCTGGAGCAGCACTCTGCAACAGCACCCTGCGCAACTTTGAGTCTCGGCCTGCAGCGCCCTTGCAGCAGCACCTTGCCTGGAATTCTGAGTCTCACCCACCCCTCCTTTACTTGGGAGTCGTTCTAAATTTCCAGTCTTAAGATTAAGTAAAGGGAGGTTCTGAAGGTCTAGCGCGAAAGGAAAACACTGCATCGCGAAAGGCCGGCGAAAGGAACGCGAAAGGACTTGAAACATAACGAATGCATGGTAGAACCCTCGTTTGGGCTCGGAAACAAGTTTTTCAGGACTGGTTTGTCACCGCGAAAGGAAAACATGGGGCCGCGAAAGGACCGCGAAAGGCCGGCGAAAGGGCCGTTTCCGGGAACTTTTATTTTGAACAACCCCCACTTGAAGTTAGAATCCCTAGAGCTTTCAGCTATTTGGGGAAAAAGCAAAAGGCTCTCTATTTTTGTATGTGCTGAGATTTTCTTTTCCCCCGGGAGGCCATGGTGTGGGAGGCGGGGGAGGCGGAGCTGCGGCGCGGCCGGGCGGCCCTGGACACGGAGGCCGCGCGCACCGCGCAGCTGGACCTCGGCATAGCAGCGGAAGCGAAGAGTGGCGCCGATGCCTCCGAAGCAGAACGGAAAGAAGAACGGAAGGAAGATGCGGAAGATGCTTCCGATGAATCGGTTCTTTCCGATTTCGGCGTGCATCGCACTTGCTTTCAAGGAAACGGTGTTTTGCAAGAGAGGCAAAGCCGACCTGAAAGAGAGTGCGCCGAGTGCAAAGAGAGTGACGCAACCCGGCCTTTGCCTAAACCGCATTCTCAAAGCTCGATGCATGCGCACTTCTCGAACTTTGCGCTGCTGGAGGAGGGACACGAGAGCCGGGCTGAGAAAGAGAGACAATGAGAAACAATTGCAAATGCAGTGCGCGCAATGCACCCATGCATCATGGACAGTATCGACGTGCCGTGCGACAGGAGTGGGGAGCCGTGCAAGGTCGGCTGCAGGCTGAGGCGGAGAGCCATCAGATGCTCCGGAGACAGCTCGTGCAGCGAATGAACGCGCTTGAGGCGCTCAATTCGGTGGCGAGAGCAAAACAATCAGCAGAATAGTGTAGAACACGCAGCGAGGGCAGGTGCTCCATTCCCATTTTGTTACTCAGCTTTCTTTTGCCAAGTTGCGCTCCTGGCAAGATGCCGGGCACTGCTCACTTCTTTGCGGGATCCAGTTTTTTCCTTGTAGCCCAAGCGCTGGAAAGTCGAGCACGTTGGCTGGCAGTCTTCCCAAGTGAGATCGTTCGAATTCATGCGAAGGAGCAGAAGGAGCAGAAGGAGCAGAAAGAGCAGAAAGAGCAGAAGGAGAAGGAGAAGGAAACCAAACACCGGCTCCGGGTGCCTCGCAGTGTCGGTTCTTGCGCGCGGCTGGCAAAGGCTAGTGCCCAGGCTCCTGGGGAAGATGCTGACAGTTTTGTGATGTGGCTTGCAAAGTTTGCAGCCATGTTCCCATGATTTGTTTCGTGGCAGGCGCTTCAAGCTCAGCTCAAAGATGCCTGTCAGCAAAACCATTTGATGGAGCAGAAGATGGAAAGCCTTCGTGAGCAAAATCTCATGCTGGAGACCCAGATCCAGAAGGAGAACAAGGATTTCCAGGCAAATCTCAAGGTGATGCATTCGGAGCTGCGACAACAGCGGCATCAATTTCGGACGCTGGGCTCATTGCTTGAGGAGCCCTGGCTTGCCTGATTGATTTGCCAAAGATGCAATCCTTGAATGGCAACCTGTGTCCAGCCAACATGCCTGGCAATATGCTGGGCCTTAGCTTGCGCAATCGGCACGGGAATGGTTTGCATAATTTTGCATATGTTTGCATGAAGTAATTATTTTCCAAGTGTGGGCCATGGCTATTCGCTGACTGTGTTTGGCTGTTTGGCTCGGGAAGCCTCAGCATGAGCCGGGCCCCAGGCAGGGCGTCACCTGGGACACCGAGACACATCGGAGAGTCGGAGAAAGTCGGAGAAAGTCGGAGAAAGTCGGAGAGTCGGCAGGTGTGGGCCATGGCCGAGGAGCTTTGTCGATAGCGTGCTTGTGCAAAATGTTTCGAATGTTTCGAAGATGTTTCGAATGTTTCGAGCTGCTTCCTTCAGGAAGCTGAGGCGGAGACAGCGAGCCCAAGCCGCAAGCCCAAGCTGCCAGCCACTCTCGCAGGTCTTGGCCTGGGATGGCCTGTCCAGCTGCGTGGAGCGGCTGAAAGCGGGCCTTGAGCACTGGACCTGTGAGGATCCGATCCGAATCTCCAACTTGGCAATGCCAAGTTTGCCAATTTGCACTGTATTATAGTGCAAATTGGCAAAATTGGCGTTTGAGTTCACATCTTGGCTCATTGTAACACGCACTTTAAACGATTCACAGTTCCAATTCTGCATATGAGAATCGATTGCGGTGATTGATGTGTGCGCAATCATGTTGGTTGTGTGCTGCCAGAAATTCACAGATTTGTTCCTGCTCATTCATCCTCTTTGGACGTGACATCTTGACGATATGGGAGACTAATATCCGGAAAGCAGCAAAAGTGCTCTGAAAGCCTTGAAAGCGTGAAGCATATATTTTTCCCTTGTTTCCATGTTGTCTGAACCATCCTAAGTCACACACTGGAATATCTGAAGCTTTGTGTCGTGTATGATGACAGCACGCCTGATAGAATGCGAAGCCAACATCATACATCACGGGCATGCAGATGCGCGACAAACTGATTTGGATCATTGCAAAACCATCCAATTGATGCAAATGCGAATCAATCAAATGCGAATCAAACACAACATCAAATCCAGGGGATTCGCGGGTGACAAGCCTTTGCTCGGAACCCAAATCCAACCAATTCTCTGGGCCAAGCTCGATGCGGGGGAAGCAACGATGCCCCGGTTTGCACAAACTCGCAAGGAGCGTGCCCGCGCGCTGGAGCGGCAGACGGACGCTGCGCAGGCGCAGCAGGACTCGTTGCAGGCGAAACGCGCGCGAAGCCCGCGAACAGTTGCAGAATTGCAGGATGCTGCAGCTGTAGCCTCTGCCTTGCGCAAGGCCTCGATCGAGGCGAGTAACATCATGTGCATCATGTGCATCGCGTGGCAATGCGTTTCATCCCAGAGTTTCGTGTTGACTGCAAAGGATCCATGGGAGCAGGGCTTGTCAGCTCTGCTGCAAAATGCCAAGGCACCAACCTGTCGCCAAGCTGTTGCTGTTGCTAGATTTGCTTGAGTTGCAAGCGCACAAGGCGCAGAGAGAGAACTTTGGACGAGTCGCCGATCTTTTGCGCAAGCACACAAAATTCTTGAAGAAGGCTCGCACCAACTTGAAAGCTTTTTTGCGTGATTGGGCGGTGCTCACTGTAGGATTCAGATTTGACAGAGAAGATTCCCGAGGCATTTCCGCATTTCCCGCCTTGTCACTTCCGCGAAAGTTGAGCCAAGGAAGGCGAACCACTGACGCCTGATGAGCTCCAAAGGCGCGTCGTTTTTGCAGTCGTTTTTGTTTGTCTTGTTTCTGTTTTTTGCCTTCCCCTTCTTTTTGCCTTTAACCTCGTCCTCTGGTCTCGTCCCCTGCCCTCGCGTGCCCAGCCTCTTGCCTTGTGCAGTCTTGTGGTGAAGTTCCTCGAGCAGATTGCTCTTGCCTCAGCCTTCGAGGAGCGCACCGCACATTTGTGCCATCAGGTGGATAGGCCCAAGGCCTGGCCTGAAATGGCCTGACGCATGTCCATTTCCCGATTCTTCCTATTTCATATGGTTTCATGCAGGCAAAGGAAGCAAAAGAAAAGAAGAAGAAGGACAGTCATTCACTTTGCAGATCTTGTATGAGCGGGAGTGAGGACGTCAAAGAGAAGAGGTCCAAGTCCACAGAAGCTGACGATGCGGATGAAGTCGAGGAGGTTGAAGACGAGGTGCGAGCTATTTCTGTGGCTAGGGACTCAGACAGTCTCGAATCTGTGCTGAGCATCCTTGTTTAAACTGTTTACAGTACATCTTGGGATCTTGACTTCAATCCGGACATGGTTGCGCGTGAGCGGAGCAACGCCTTCGGAAGAAAAGTCCGTCCTTGGACGGCACGGGCTTTGGCGCTGGCCTACGCGGCAATGGCGGCTTGTCGCCCTGACTATCTCTCTGCAGACTGAGCGGGGCAAGTGGCCAGCGCCGGTGACAAAGAATAAACATCAAGAGGAGTACCGGTCCAAAAATCTCAGGCAGGTGTGGCGAGCCTGATGCCCCTGCTTCACGGAAAGGAAAAGGGATTAGCGTGCGTGATCCAGCACGGTGCGCACACACAGACACAGACACACTCACCCATGCACCCTCCCACTCCCGCACCCACACACGCACACGCTCTCGCACATGCACCGCGCTGCACACTGGGCTTCCTGGTTTCAATTTGGCTGAGATGTCCCTTGTTCAGGCAAGGTGCGCCTCACAGAACCTTCCATTCTTGCGATGATGCTTTCTCCGCGAGTATCGCGAAATTGCTTGAATCGTGCCAGGGACATTGGGTTGAACGTGCGAACTCTGCAAGAAAAAAATGTCTGTCTCGTAAGGGCGGTGCCTCGCTTGTGACGTCAGTTTTTTCTCGCTCGTGACTGGACTATCTCGCTTGTGACGGCACATAATTGGTCACGTAAAACAACGCAATTACAGCGTTTTGTGGATGGGGGGGAGGGGCATGGCGACCCTAGGTGTGGTTTTGGGGCAAAAGCGTCGGTTGTTAACTTTGTCGCAAGTGAGTGCCATTTCTTGTGTGGTGGAAACACAATGATTGTTCGGTGTTCGCATGTAGTTTTGGCCCGGTGTTCACAACTTGTCCTGATCTGCTCGAAGTCTTGGCCCGGTTCCGAGCACAAGCACGGCACAACCCTAAACCCTAAACCCGCCAAACCCAAGAGCCTAAACCCTACACCCAAACCCAGAACCCTAAAACCTACAGTGATGCGAGCCAAGCCCAAAAGCCCAAAAGCCTAAGATCCTAAAGCCAAACCCTAAACCCAAAACCCAAAAACCTAAAGTGATGTAAGCCAAGCCCAAGAGCCTAAACCCTACACCCAAACCCAGAACCCTAAAACTTACAGTGATGCGAGCCAAGCCCAAAAGCCCAAAATCCTAAAGCGAAATCCTAAACCCAAAGCCCAAAAACCTAAAGTGATGTAAGCCAAACCCAAGAGCCTAAACCGACTTGAGCCAAATGGCAATCAATGGAACCCTGTAAGCAACACAAACACGGACCTCAGAACTGCTTCCCAATTTAGGCACGGGGCCAGGAGGGTTTTAACACCCACGAAGCTGCCGTACAGGGGGTCGTAGACGTTGTCGGCCTCTGACATGTACACCACGAAGTTGGAGGCCGTGCCCTACACCCAAACCCAGAACCCTAAAACCTACAGTGATGCGAGCCAAGCCCAAAAGCCCAAAAGCCTAAAATCCTAAAGCGAAATCCTAAACCCAAACCCAAAAACCTAAAGTGATGTAAGCCAAACCCAAGAGCCTAAACCCTACACCCAAACCCAGAACCCTAAAACCTACAGTGATGCGAGCCAAGCCCAAACGCCTAAAATCCTAAAGCGAAATCCTAAACCCAAAGCCCAAAAACCTAAAGTGATGTAAGCCAAACCCAAGAGCCTAAACCCTACAGCCCTAAAACCTACAGTGATGCGAGCCAAGCCCAAAAGCCTAAAATCCTAAAGCGAAATCCTAAACCCAAAACCCAAAAACCTAAAGTGATGTAAGCCAAACCCAAGAGCCTAAACCCTACAACCCTAAAACCTACGGTGACGCGAGCCAAGCCCAAAAGCCTAAAATCCTAAAGCGAAATCCTAAACCCAAAACCCAAAAACCTAAAGTGATGTAAGCCAAACCCAAGAGCCTAAACCCTACACCCAAACCCAGAACCCTAAAACCTACAGTGATGCGAGCCAAGCCCAAAAGCCCAAAAGCCTAAAATCCTAAAGCGAAATCCCAAACCCAAAACCCAAAAACCTAAAGTGATGTAAGCCAAACCCAAGAGCCTAAACCCTACACCCAAACCCAGAACCCTAAAACCTACAGTGATGCGAGCCAAGCCCAAAAGCCCAAAAGCCCAAAAGCCTATAGATCCTAAAGCCAAACCCAAAAGCCTGGTTTACGGAGCAGGCAGCACGGGCTCAGCTGAGCGGGTGTGCTTATCATGCCCCCCCCCCAAGGAAGAAAGAGACTGTGCGGCGAATCGTCGCAAGTGAGTCAGGTGATGCGGCGGGCAAAATAATGGCAACACGCATGTCATCACTTCAAAAACCTCCCTCTGATGGTCGCGTGGCGCGAATGTTGTTGCAAGTGAGTCAGGTGGATGCGCGAAACCTGCGCGCAAGCACACTTCTGGAAAGCGCGTAGTCGCAAGTGAGTCAGGGTTAAGTCGCGAGTGAGTCAAATTAGGTGAATTCGCAAGTGAGTAAAAACTTGTGTCGCAAGTGAGTGCTTCCCCGTCTCGTAACCCTCGAGACCCTTTTGACAAGCCGCTGGCCATCATGTGGCCAGGAGAAGGGGAAGAAGCGAAAGAAGGGCAAGAGCAAAGCCAAGGAGAAAAAGAGCAAGGAGGCTGATGAGTTGCAACGTGCCAAGATGTTGGATGTTCTCATGAGCAGGACAAGAAAAAACGGCGCAAGAAGTCTGCAAAGGATAGGTTGACCGGTTCGCTTGGTTCTTCGGTTCCGGAAGTCGGCCTCAGAGCCTCTGAGCTTTGAGGACGAGTCGTGTTCAGAGGCAAGGGGGAGGTTTGGAGGGAAAGGGGAGAGAGAGAGAGAGAGAGAGAGAGAGAGCAACAGAGCAAAAAAAGACAAAAAGGAGCGAAAAGGAGCAAGGGGATAGAGGGGATAGAGAATTGAGAAGTGCATGCGAAAGAGTATTGCCAGTGGAGTGTGACGTCCAGGACTACTCGTACACTCCGTCCCCCAAGCGGAGGCGCGGGTTGCGCATGCGGGGGAGTTGGACAACGAGGATGCACCAGTCGATCAGAAGCAAAACAAAAGGAACGAATTGAACTACGTAAGCAGCAAACAAACATTCGCTCCAATCTCAAAGATTGCACAAGTCTGCCTACTGGTTTGTGTTCTTTCAGGTTCGTCCTCACAGTATGATCATTCTCTGAGTTTGAGGCGTAAACGACGGCGGCGCCGCCGTCGACCAAGCCCGAGCTATTCCAGGTCCGAGCCTCTTAGCCGCAATGGATGAATGCCGCGTGCAAAAGGTCCTACAGCTATACACCTTCTCGCGATAAACGTCGACGGGGTCGCAGAAAACGCCGCCGTGAGGACCAAGATTGCAGAGTCCTAACAATGCTCAGAAGCTGTTGAGACCAAAGTACAAGCGCCTGCAAATATAAGGCCGCCTTGTAGGGTCCTGTATTTGGGACAAGGGGACGTCCTGACGTCCCGAGTTTCTGCGCGAACCAATAACTCGGTTTGCCTTTCATTAGGATTCTTGCTCTCGGGTCATTCTGCCAACAAAATAGCTGCTTAATGTATGATCAATGGTGGTTCTTTTGCGCACGTCAATTGTGCTTCCGCAATTTATCTATGCTTGACGTGACTACCGAAGACTGCAGCGCCTACCGTTTTGGTGTAGAAGTCGGAGATTGCCCTTTGACACAGCTCGTCCGAATTCCCAAGCACATTGACCACTTAGAGGCCTCGAGGGAAGGAAGCCAATGCAAACCGAATGCGAGGAGAAGTTGAACGTCGATGCAGAGATTGATCGCTTTGTGCGAGTCGCGCGGCAAAAGCGGCAACGGTCTCACACCAAGTGAGTGACCCCATTGCTCAGTTTGAGGTGAACAAGTTGGAGGAGCGTTGTGAGAAGATATTGCGGGACTTAGACTCCGCCCTGGCACTCAAGGAGCGGAATGGCATATGCATGGCAGCATGCTTTGCTCTCATCTTTCTTTTTCAGGTCATGGGCCTATCCGGCGGCACAAACACATTTGAGCTCAGTGGTGATGTTCGAGATCCTACAGCCGTGGTACTGGCACGTATCCGGAAGGCGCAATTCGCCTGCGTCTCAGCTGGACTGGCTTGAGCTCGTTTGAGCTCCGTCAACCTTAGGCCAAAGATGTTAATCCAGGCGCCCGAGGGAGATACTTGAAGCTTACAGAGCTGACTTAGACTTGGGCATTTGGGTGACAATGGGGAGTGCGCTGGCAACTCAAGCCAATGTATGCTCAAGTGCAGAGTCTTGTCATGTTTGGAGCTGTTTTCTGTTTTCCAATTCTCCGCTCTGTCTTTGGAACAATTTATTTAACTCGTCCTTCGACATGACCTCTTCGTGATCAGCCGGGTTTGTGCCAGCGAGCCTTCAAATGTGGCCGAAACGGGTGGCCTGAGCTTTCGGTTTTAACAGGCGATAGCTTCAATTTACTGAAGCACCTGGACTAGCGACTCTCAGAAACGAACAAGTTTGTGCCCATCCAGTGGTTGACTGCAACATTCCGGCTTCCCAAAGCCGCGAAAGCCTTTGAGGCCGGCGAGTCCGAGCCCAAGCAAAAGGAAATGAGGCAAAAAGGCAAAAATAATGAAGAGTCCCATTGAGAGCATGAACCGAATGAGTATTGAGAATGAGCCGAGGCCAGACGGCGCCGATCCAGCAGCGCGGGACTCGGACGGACTTGCAAGCCACGGAAAGCCAGCAACTCGAGAGGCTCGCGCTGATGAAGATGCTAGAAAAGCCAGCGAATACACGGAAGACATAGCATATATCATAGCATTGCATAGTAGCATTGCATAGCATTGCATGGCGCATAGCATTGCATAGCCCTTTTGCTTTGGAAGGTTGGAACACGTTTTGGCTCAAGCACTGGGCTCTCCCAGTTGTTCAGACCCAAAATTTAGCTTGCTCCAGGCGAGTTCGCTGTTCGCCGTTCGCTGTTGCACCTTCGCCGGAGTTGAGGCGAGAGGCGCGCCACTCACACCATGGAGGAGGGAGCCGAGGGAGGCCGACGGCCGTAGGAAGTTTGATGAGACGTATGAGAGACGTAAGGCGAGGAGAAGGAAGGCGGCTGCAAGAAGTGCTGCTTCGCCTTCCTCGATTGCATGGCCGGAGAGAAGGTATCAGACGGCGCCATGGCGTCATGTGCCACACTGAGGCGATGATTATCACATCGATCATTGCTGCCTGCTCTGCCTGCTGGAGAGTGACCAAGGCAATGCGCTGCGTGCGCCAAACTCATTGCCACGAAGCTCGCCCAGGAGTACGGAATCTATCCTGTGAAGCAAAACGTGGTAGACACCTTTGACAGCATCCAAGAAACCTTGTTCCCCTACAAGCAAGGTGTGAAGGCGCGTTTGCGCTATGCATTCGAGAATGTTTCCTTGTTCAAGCTTGGCTCAGGTTCCATACAGCTACACGGAGGCTCGGCATGGAAGTGCCTTATATGATTTACACGTTCAATGTAGGGACTCCCACGTCCTCTCATGAACGCATTCGTGTTTGTCTGCAGTTTGCGTCTTCGTCGCGCAGGTGCCAAGCTTCAAATTTCCCTAGCGTGCAAAGACACGTCCGAATCACGGGAAATTTAAAACTGAGAGAGGGAGAGAGAGAGCGAGAGAGAGAGCGAGAGAGAGAGAGAGAGATGGAGCCGCAGTGTGCAAATGCTCTCGCTCGGATATTGGCTTCAGGATGGCATGCAATGAACGCATTTTTCACGTGTTTGACAATATCGAAGTCAGAGCTTTTGGGAAAGCTTGCGGGTTGTCGCCCCTCCTGAGGCGGCATGTGCTACTGTGTCAAAAGGGCTTCAGAAGGGCAGCCGTGAATTCTCAGGACCGATGAGTGATGATGACTGGTTGACTGACCGCCAGACAGCGCTCTCCAGGCGTGCACGGAGATGTTCAGATGCATATTGTGCATATTTTGCATCGGCGTGTGCGTCGCAGTTGTTGCGCAAGATGCTGAGGCCAGCTACGAGCGAGAAAGAGCCGAGCCAGAAGGTGGTTGCTCCGGCCACAGTGTCGAGAGTCTCGGAGAGTCTCGGAGAGTGTCTCGGAGTCGCTCGGAGTCCGTTCGAGGCACCGCCAAAGCTCTTGCAGCGGCCAAAAGCCGAAGAGTCCGCTCGCAATTCCGAGAAGGCCATCGGGGCCGGAGGCCGCAAGGCTCATCTGAGTGGCAGGTAGAGACGCCCGCCCCCAAGACACTCAAGCAAAAGGACCCGCAAGAGGTAAGGCACGAGGAGTCGAGGCTATGTCCATCATTTCCCCAGGAGGCGGAATATGCTGCTGCCAGAGCTCGCATCTTCGGCTACAGCGGCGGTGGGAGCCATGGAACCCTTTTGGCAAAGGCATGTTCATCGCAGTGAGCTTAGGAAGCGGGCGAGGACGCGGAAGGTCGAACCAAGGACGAGGCAAAGCAAACCGGGGAGATAAGGAGTCCTACGGAGGGTACGAAAGACGTCGGACATTGCGCCAGGGCAATCTCGAGTTCAGACCACTTCCATGGCCACTCACTTAAAGACGTGCAACAGATTCAGAGATTCAGACAGTGGGGTGCATGAGGAAAAGCCGCGCAGGGACACCGATGATCCGGCGCCATGCCTGAAATCTGCAACTGTTAGATTGCTTGTGCCATCTTGAGAGTCTTGCCCACTAGCCTTGGAGAAGATTGAATTTACCCTATCAGAATCAACTCCCTCTCTCTCCCGCATCCGTTAAAATCAAACTATCAATTACTACACGTTCAAGTGCTGTAGCGTTGTTATAACAAACAGTCAAATTGTCAAACCTGAAGTCTGCTTGTCACCTGTTTTCCAATGTGCTCGCATGTAACAATGTAGTGAAGTAAAAGCTCAAGGCCTGCGGTAGTGTAGAACCTGCACAACTGTCAAGTAGTGCAACATGTGCTTTGACACGGCCTCTCAGTTGTAAGATCTTGTAGTATCTTACAGCTGCTGTAAAACGGGGATTAGCAGTAGTGATGAAAGCAGGTGCTATTCACCAGTTCTACAGCAGTTTTCAATCGCGACTACTGTTCAGGCTCAGTAGTCAAACTGAGTGGCGCGGATGATGTAGTCCAAAATGTTCAGGCAGAAGGTCCCTGCCTGTAGTTCCTTTGCTGTTGCTTCATTTGATGAAGCGCCTGGATTGTAGTTGGATGGTTGAGGTAGTCGATCAGTAGTTAGTAGTTGGCCTGATTCTCTCATCCTATCAAAGTCTTTGTTAGGACAAATAGGCCTGGTCACCTGTAGTTGCTGAAGGGTGCGAGTAGTTGCTGGTGTGTGTGTGTAGCACGGTTGTTTTTGTTTTGGGTAGTAGTCAGTAGACGGTGCCCATAGTATTCAGTGGTCATGAGTAGTATGCGCCGTGTAGATGGGTTGATGGTGTCATCGGTAGCGTGTTGCGCAATGAAGCGTAGGAAATGTTGGGTGCTGAGCAGTAGGTGGTAGTCCCAGGTTAATCGGTTGGCCAAAGTGTAGTGGTTGTTTGAACTTCGTGAATTCGAGCTGGATGAGGTGAGCGCCATTGAGCGCCTGGGTAGTAGGGAGCCGTCACGTTGGTTGCGCGATGGTGATGAGCGCGTAGTTGTCCCTGTTGTTTGTACTTGTGTGACGTTCAGTGATGCTGTAGTAGTGCCGCAAGTGGGCCTCCGGTGCAGCGTGCGGCATCTGAGGTCGATTGTAGTTTGGTTCATGCGGGTGACTTGGAAGTGCGTGTAGTGGGAATGATGGATGTAGCGCAGCATGTGCCATGTTGTAGAAGTGACTGTAGTCATCGCCAGTGGCGCAGTAGTGAGGAAGCAGTAGTCTTCCCGTAGTTCCTTTGCAGTAATGTGTAGGTCGCAGTCGCTGGAGTCGTAGTTGTCCTGCAAGTTGGTAGTGGTCTGTTGTTCTTGGGTGAAGTGGGCCTGTTGCTGTGCAAAGTTGTAGGCATGTTTGGCCCGGTAGTGCCAACTGCCGTAGTTGGAGTTGCAGCCTCTGGTCAGAAGCAAACACAGGGGGCTACCCTCTTCAGGATGGTGGGAAGCAAGAGGACAACCGCAATCTTTAGGGGTCCCCTATTAAAAGACACAGACCCGCTTCTTGAATGCCAAGCAACTTTTTGGTTCATGCCGAGTTGATACAGATCATGTCTGTACTTTGTTGACATTGTCATACTGTAGTTGCCTTCAACTTGTTCTTTGATGACGCGCAATTATTTGTTCGCTCAACGCTTCCTTGACTGTTGCTGCTGTAGGAAGGAGAGTGTCGTCAGTTGTTGAGCTGATTTTGATGCTGTAGCTTTGGCTTGTAAGTTGTTGATCGTGCAGTCCATCATTGATGGCTTGTCCGGAAACAATACCTGCATGCCCAGCTGTGTAGTTGGTCCACGGCACATAGACGGCCGTGGGATTTTCAGCTGATTGGGTGGTTGGGGGCGGGAGGGGGGTTGAAGGGGGGGATCGGGGGGGTGAGTCCCACTGCCGGGGGTATCTTATCCCCGAAGGGAACCGACACCACAATAGTAGAGAGTCTTTATTTAGTAGGTCCCCGGATCTATTCCGCTGAGTCCAAGTGTCAATACTGAGGGGTCGATGCTGGATAAGCCCTGGTAGATTGTGTGTTGTGGATTACTCTGAAAATGGTCCGCAAGTGGTACCTTTGTATCACGGATGCAATGGCTCAGTGAGCTATGTACATCGACTATGTGACATTAAAGGCCTTGAACCAAAAAAGTTACATGGAGATCAGTGGGTCATCAAACAGACACAAACACAGACACACATCTCTTTTGATCTCCAGCACTGAAATGCTATAAACTTGGCCTTTGGCCTTTGAGCGTAGCCATTTTCGGACCTATACATCGTGCCAGAATTATATTACTATATTCATCCCTTTCTGGCGCGGATGAAATGTCTTTGTTGGCAAATGAAAAAGAAAAGCTTTGTACTCATTGCGGATACCTAGTTGTATCAAAAGATGATGCACAGTGCTACGCACATGCAGGATCTGTATTGATGTCTCGCTGAATAGTCGGGTTGGTGGTGAGGATCAATTGGTCGGCATTCGTGGTGCTGTTCTCGGGTGTTCTCTCAGTCGAGCTTCTGAAAACTTTTCATCGCGTTGCTGGTCTCCGATTGGCTACTGTATGTAATAATCGTAGTCATACCATGTCGAACAACCATAGCCCTTCCATCCCTGTTGGTCGTAGCCGCAACCCTTGTTGTAGTGCCAGGAACTTCCCCAAGTATTGTTTCTTCTTTTTCTGGTCATATTCCTTGATTCTCTGAGAGTCGCGTTCCTTGCTTTCGGATCGGCTTCGGATACAAACCATCAGCGGGCTGTGCGAATCGGAATCACATGGGCCATTCATAAGCATCTCGTTCGTGAGTCACTCATATCCTACAGACCTGGTAGTCTGGGATTGTCGCGGGTCTTGTCCTGCAATTCTTTCTTTTCCTCATTTGTCATTGACTCAATCTCTGAACTTCGAAATCGGCGTTGGACGTGTGTCTTTCCCCATCCAAATGCAAAAGTCATCATGCAATCTGGAAAGGTTCGGTCCGGACCTGAGCCGGTCTGCGCGCCACGGATGAGGTTACTTCACATCAAGCGGCACATGATGAAGTAAGAGTTAAACCTGCAGTCTGCCTGTCACCCTTTTCCCATGGGCTCGCATGTGGTGAGTAGAAGCTCAAGGTTTGCGGGTTGCGCAACATGCACAACTATCAAGTAGTGCAAAATGTACCCTGACAGCATCCCAGCGCGTCACGACGCTTGTGCTCACGTCCTGTGTTTCGACTCAGCCTTGGTTCTTGGGGCTATGGTCATTCTTTCACTTCAGGCTGTCCTATCGTCCGCCGGCAAGAACCTCGCTGTCCGATGGGACTTGTGCAGCCGGGTCAACGTTCTCCCTTCTGCGCTCACCCATGAATCCGGCAGTCTCGCGTTCGGCTCCTCCAGGGACGGCTTTTCGTCTTGTGGCCTGCTGTCCAGGTCTTCTGGCGTCGGCTTCGGAGTGTAGGCCCCAAGATATTTGCACTGCCGGCCGTCTGCGTTCCATCCACTGTTGAAAGGACCCGCAAGGGCAATGGACACGTAGGCCGCAGGATGCTGAACACGCCGATGGGATCTGTTTTGCGTACTTGCCTCAGTGAATGTCTTGCAATCTCTCCTGTGTGGCACGTGCCCGTTCTGGACAGTTCATCTTCCGGAATCAATGCCCACATGCTCCGCCGCCTCCCGCGACTCGCCGCCATATTTTTTTTGGCAACTCCAGCACCAGCTCCGTGCCAATGGTCGTGGGCTTCACCGCCCCCATGGTCACCCTGCCAGAAGGTCCACTCCTGCAAGTTCTCCGCCTGCATGCGCTTCCGTCCTCCACCACGAACAGCAGCTCGGCATGTACCTGCTCGGAGCAGCGGGCTGCTCTGGGTTCTTTTTCTTTCCGCTTCACCGCAAGGTAGATCATGATCATATCCTGAACATCAAGATGTCGTGCTCCAGCACACTCACCTTCTCGTCCTCGGTGAGGTCATACCAAGCGCGGAATTATAAATTACAAAGCTGCTCCAAAGTGATAGAATGTAATGGTCAAGTACATACCCCGGCGTGGTATGCCACGCATCGTTCTTCTGGACAACTGTTTCCTCTCAATGTCCTGCCCGGTTCGTGCTGAATCTGTTCGTGGCAATCCGTGTTTAGCAGTGGATGTGGGTCGCTGTATCTGGCAGGTCAGGGTCCAGGGTTGCTTCAGTAATTAGAAAACGGTGGCGTTGACAATACATATTCGATCCGTCTCCGTTGCGCGACCTCTTGAAGTTGCTTCAAGCCAATGAAATGCCACTTCAACATTCCAAAGACAAGAGCTACGTCACGTATATCTTTGCAATACAGAGTCACCCATTTCCAAGTCACATTGCAGTGAAGGTATTTGCTTTGCCGAGCTCGTAATCAGCACAATGCTTGCATGCTGGTGTGTACCATTTAGCTTCGATTTCTTGCGAAAAATATGGGCAGGCCCATCCCCGTACCAAAAACCGCAGCTAATGAAAACTGCATCAATCTATGTCAATCTTGCATGTGAAAGGACTTAAGATAGATTCTGCGTGCCACGTGCTGATTCATCTAGAGGAAGGTTGGCACTGGAGCATCTATGCCAAGTGATTGATTTGAGGGTTTTGTGTGGCAGAACCAAAGGGAGCCGTCAGATCACGTCCCCGAACTGAGGATTACGATCGAACTCCTCATCGCTACGCACGGGCCAACAGTGCGCACATGTGCCAGCGCAAACGTGGACACCGCTCGAAAAGACACGGGTCACACGTTGAAAGCAAACATAAGCAGACCTATCGAAAGCGGTTCGCATGCTGCCTGCTCGGAGTTTTTGCTTCTCGAAAGTCGAAACAAGGCTCCGCGCCTGGCTCCTGAGTGGAGCCCCGAGGAGATGTCGCTTGCAATGCGCGAACGGGGTCAGATGCTACAGGTGCTGAACCTGTGACTGAGGTCACTTGAGAGCTCGAGGCGTGTTCCTTCCACAGGCGTACCGTGCGTACCGTTGTTTCGCAAGACTGTGAGGTACGAGCCGCCTGCTTACGACACAGAGTTCCCTTCTTTGTGAGGAATGCCCAGTTTCACGACCGCTAGCCGGAATGTCACAATTCGATGAACAAGTGAGCCACTTGCAAGACTCAGTAGAGGTGTAGTCTGCAAAACATGGCGCCAACTCGCATTCAGAGAGAGAGAGAGAGAAGGAGTTATCACCTTGGCAAAGGACACTGCTCTTTTTTCTCAACACACCCGGCTGCATCAGCTGATGATGTTGCCAGAGGAAGCAGCTAGAGCATGAGGCTCTCTTTTCGCCCGGCGTTAAACGTGGAAATCATTCTTCAAAACTTCCCTTGCAACAGAGCCCAGCGTCGAGCAACAATCACACTGCTTGTATTTGCTTGTGCATGCAACAGCGACGGTGGGGCCAGCTTCAGCTCTCTCCTCAGAGAATCTCAGCATGTGCTGGCTGCACTTGGTAGAGACAGCCAATGTTCTGCTCGTTTGCAGCCTTGTTTCAATTGCAAGTTGCAAAATGCAGGCTTTGGCCAGCAACCAGTGAGGAAGTTCTATCCTTTTGATAGCTGGAGAATGTGTTTTCATTGTTGGAGTCATAGTTTCTGTACTTGTTTTAAATTAGCTGAAGTCAGTGTCAAGACTAGGACCCGACTGGACTGTGAATTCGTGACTTATGGGGAAAAGAGAAAAGGACTTCGGTTAGCAAGAAAGGACTTGAACAAAGTCGATTCGACGTCTATTCCAAACTGTTTTTGGGGGCATGTAGTTTTATCATAGCATGTTTCCATGCCACGGCCAATGCGCCGTCTGGCTCAAGCTCTTGCAAGCGGCAACTGACGTTTGCCATTTCGTCGCCAGCGCCAACGGCGCGGACACCATCTCGCACACGGAAAAGGTGCGGGCCGGCAGCGCCGCGGTTGGCCTCCTGGTGGAGGTGGGTCATTCGTTTGGTTGGTTTGTTGCATCTGGTTTGCTTTGCTCGCTCGCTGCGCTTCGCTTTGCTTGCTTGCTTGGTTTGGTGCTGTTGCTCGTGCGCTTGCTGCGCTGCTTGCCCTTGCTGGGTTCTTTCTTCTGTTTGTTAAACTGGCACCCCTTTTGGTTCGTGTTTGTGCCGGCCGAGGGCAACCGCTTTGCCCTTGGGACCGGGGGGATAAGGTGGTCTCTTCTTGTTGGTGGGTTAGGGCCTGTTTTATCCATCCCGAAACTCTGTTTCAAACCCTTTCGCAGGTTATCAGCCGTAGGATTCGTCCTCGGTTGGCACCGCGAACCCCATTTAATAACAACCCTGCAGGCGCCGTTTTCCATAGGCTACTGTAGGACTCATGGCGGGAATCACAGAGGATGGACCTCATGTGGTGACCGATGAGTGGGTTCTCGGCCAGGCCGGAATCTTGGACGTTGTGAATGACGACCAAGTGCCCGGACAGCCGATGTTTTCCGGTCCTGACTTTTTGTCGGACCACACTTTTTCAGAAGCAATGCCTTCAGGAAGGTCCAGTGCTACTCGCACTGATGACCTATCGTCTAATGCCTCAAGAGCTAATCGCTCTCAGGGTCATGGGGCTAATCGTCCTGACCATGATGATTCCGTCTCAGGACGTGATGATGACGAGCCCGGTATTGCACCTGGAGCTCAATCCTCATCTTTCCCGGAGCTGATGAATATTGGTCAGTCCGAGTTTCATGACTCTCGAAGTAGCAGTAGACCTGTGCCAACCAGTAACATAGCTTTTCAAGTGCTCGGTAATCCCGAAGCTCGTACATCCAGTGGAGTTGCATTTGACGTTCATCTGCCGACCGAATCCGGTGGGCTCGATTGGAGAGCCTCATGGCCTAACGACGGAAACATTTTTGGTATGGATTTTGCCGCATGGATGCCAGGGCCACCCGCCCCGTCATCTTTTCCACAATTCCAAAGCCCAAAGCGGGCTGCTGGAAGCGATGAATTCATGCTACCTTTGTCGATTGAGAATCTCAATCCTGACGTGGCCAGCCGTAACGTCAGGCCAAGGCCGTCGGTAAACCCGACCATGAGGAACATGTCCCCTCCCCCAGGACTTTCAGGATTTGAGAGCCCTAGGGAGCGTAATATCGTAGATAGATTGAATTTGCATCCCAGTCCAACCCCAAGCAAACGATCAAGGTCAAATTCGACTGGATCGTATAGGGCAAGGGGGATGGATCGGGAAACTGCCCACAGGGGTAACCCCAGTGCGCGGGACTCAGGACGCGGTCGATCAGGCGATCCCGCGTCGATTGTCGGTAGGGATCCGCTAAACGCGGACACGTTGATTAACGTGCTTGATGGGATCGAAGCATTCCAGGAGGAATTCAATAGGTCGAGTGGCCCGAATGTACAGCCTGTTCGCCCTACGCCCAAAGCGGCTTCCTTTCTCGCCATTGACAACACAGACGGAGCTGATGTTCCGATTGAGTCTGAGTCCATGATGGCATCAAGTTCCAATCACAACAACACTGTCAGCAGCGCTACCGATGTTGAATCAATGTCTGAGTCTAGAGCGTCCAATGCGACTGATTTGCATGACGTTGTCATTGCTGATATGAAGCCTGAAGTTCCTATGCGGACTGATAGGCCGGTAATTCCCAAATTGTTTGTGACAAAGGGTCTAGGCATGCCACAGCCATCAGTTGTTCGTGATGCCAGAAGATCTGCACCGTATCAGAGTCAGTCTCCGAATCGGAGCGAATTCCCACGGCCATCAACGGCGGTACAAGATGATTTCAGGACACCTCCGAGATCTAATCCGATCATGGTTGATTTGTCCACTCCTCGAGATCGCGGATCAGGATTTGGTCCTGCGAGTGAGGAGCAACCCAACGAGGTTGCTGATCTTGTAACAGCCCTTGAAAGAGGGAGAGTGGACTCTTCGGTAAGTGCGATCATTCATCGCCTGGTTGCTAAGGTCGAAGACCTTGGGCGTAGGAATGATAGAAGTGATCAATGCATCAAGCAGCTCTCCACTGAGGTTAACTCGTGGAGGGCCAAATACGACCAATGCGTCCATGTGAGTAGCACGTGTACGCAGGCTGCGAACGCGGCCATGCAGCTGTCACAAGGGACTAAGGACATCGTGACCGAGCTTGGCCAACGCGTCAAGATCGTTTCCAATCGCATGATAAGCATAGGCGATGCCCTAAATGAGCGAGCCAGCTATGATGATGTTGCTCGCTCCATCACCCAGGTTCAAACTGTTTTTGAATCTCTCTCTGATCGAGTAACCGGGCTTATAGCTCGTGTTGATATGATCGAGAGATCTCTAGTGGAGAGCCAATCCAACCATCCTGCAATTGGTGGGGTAAACCTCAAAATCGAGGACCTGTCCACTAGGGTATGTCAGATTGATAGGATGATGCAAGATGTCGAACAACGCTGGACCAATAATAGGGACGGCATAAAGTGGGTTAAAGACCAACTTTATGAGACACAAGCCAACCTTGAGATGAAGTCAAGGGACTGCAAGTCCTACACGGACAAGCAAAATACTCATAACATGGCCGTTTCGACTACGCTCAACAGTAAGCTCGAGCAAATGCTCGAGGTGCTGGGTAATACGGCCCAGAGAATCAGCTCCATCGAGTCAAGGCACTCGAACCAGGCCTCAAGTAGTGGATTGAACGATCACACAGGAGGAAGGCGAGCCGCGTCCCGTACTCCGGATAAGCGGCCACCTCCTCCTGGCCCTCCTGATGGTGATCCTCCACCACCTCCTCCTCCAGATTGGCAAAGCCCAGGTGGAGGGGGGAAGAAGAGTGCTGCCGGTGGGAACCCTGGCAACCCTGGTAAACCCAGATGTAAATATGTAGGTGATGGGTATAATCATCTCGTGGCTGAGTTTCACTGCAAGGGATGCAGAGGTGATATTTGTGAGTATTGTTTCTCATTTAAAGAGAACCTGTGTGAAGAATGTTCCCGTAACGGACCCCGATGCGGAGTCTGTAGGGAGAGCTCGTTCCTGACCAAGGGAATTGAGTGTCAATTTTGTAAGACCTACTACTGCACCAGACATTCTGCTGGGCAGGATGACTACAGGAGATTTGGATTTGTCCAGGGTCCCTGTTGTCTTGCGTGCCTTAGGGACGAGACTAGGAGAAGAAGGGATCCCGATGGTAACCGTGTCAGGAATAGGTCGCCTGGAGGCATACCTGAGACGAACCCGACGCGGTCGTTCTCGCCGCCTCTGCGGCCACCCGTTGACAGATTCCGTGACACCCCAACTGGGGGTCAGCCCGGTGCGGCTAACATTCAGAGTCCCCCGAAGGCTACGCACCCCGTGCCCCTGGATAAACGTGAAACCGGATATTATCCAGGATTTGATCCCAACGGTGCAAGGCCGAAGGATCCTTCAGGCCTTGAGCCGCCGACCATGCGTGGCCCCGATCCTCCTGACAAGAAATGTCGGATGTGTGATCGGGATATTCCTGATCCCAGTAAAATTGAGGAATGTAAGATATGCATGAAAAGGGCATGTGAGATTTGCATTCCGAAGGCTACACGCCTTTGTCCTGTGTGTGCATTGTCAATCGGTAGTTCTCAGGTTCCACAGCATCTTTTCGGAACTGGTGGCGGCGGATACAGTAGCCACCATGATCCGAACTGTACAGCTGCGACTAAGTGCATTTCCATAGACCTCCCGCCAGAGCCCGACGCGGCTGGGCTGAGGGTATGGATAGCCAATATGAAGGAAGCTGTTAGCAATGCCTACAGCTATGATGGACTTTACGTCATCAATTGGCTAACTGAAGTCGAGAAGGCAAAGACCTTTGATGAACTGGATGGAGAATGTAAATACCACATCCTTGAAGCCAGGTTCAATGCAGCCATTCGGAAGTGCATCAAGACTGTTGCGATCATCGATAAGATTAATCGTCTCACCGAAGCCGCTCAACGCTCCAACAATCGCATCAAGAGTAGGCAGATCCTGTGGCTCTTATACGACCACTTAAGGACTGCGAATATCGGAGAGCAATCGTTCAGGATAATTGAGCTCTCAAACTTACGATGCAGTACATCATCTTTCTATACTGAAGAGGAGCGACTTGAAAGGTTCATCGCGAAGTGGGATCACATCCTTGCGGGTCTCGATGAACCGCTGACCGAACAGGTAAAGCGGTCGCTATTCAGTG